CATCTGCGAGAACGAGATCCCTGAAGGGCAACAAGAAGTTCTTCATGAAGCCCTGAAGCCACGAAGATGCTGGCAGAGAAGAGCAAGGCTGGTAGCAAGAGAGTATAACAACTCGAAGCGAGAAGATGTTTTCAGCCCAGCTACCTCTCCGTCGTTGACGAAGCTGATTCCAATTTTGGCATTGGCAAATCGATGGAGTATTTGGTCGCTTGACATCAAAGATGCATTTTTGCAGGTTCCCCAGAAGAGACCTGTACACTGCAAGATTCCACGAGGAAAAGGAAGTCAAGCAGTACACGGAATGGAAGCCAAATGCTGGCGTCTTGGTCGTGTCCTTCCTGGACAAAGAGATGCTAGTCTTCTGTGGAGCGAATTTTGTGCAGAACTTTTGCAACAAGAAGGCTATGAGAAAAGCATTGCGAACCCAGCGTTGTTTCGCTGGATCAAGAACGGCAAGGTCGTATCCGTTTGCATCGTACATGTCGATGACCTTCAAGTAGCAGGAAAAGCAGCAGTGGTGAAGCCCGTCCTCGAAGCTTTAGCGAAGAAGGTGAAGCTACAAGTAGAAGGACCTTTTCTGACAGAAGAAGATTATCGCAATGGATTTTCCAAGCAGTCTGTGCGTTTTCTCAAGAGAAGGTATAGCTATGAAGACGGAAAGTTGTTTGTCCGCCCTGACACCAAGTATGTCACCAAGCTCCTTGAAAAGCACCGCCTTGGATCGAGAAGAGAGAAAGCTACCCCTGCAGCAGGAAATGTGCAGAACACCGATGAGACAAAAGAGCTGGACGAGAACAAGAAGAATGTGTACCGAAGTTGTGTCGGTATACTGCTATATCTTGCCCAAGATCGTCCTGACATCCAGTATGCAGTCCGAAATTTGGCAACTGGAATGAAGGCTCCGACGCAGAAGAAGCAGAAAGAGCTTGAGCATTGCGCGTTGTATCTGAAGAAGACTGCAGGCTATGCGGTTTGCTACACAGCAGGGAGACCTGGAACGGCAACCTTGCAAAGAAACAAGAATTTGGAGCAAGATTCCGAGAATGAGAACGAGAAGAGCATCGAGAGTGGCAGTCACCTGGTCGAAGTATTTTCTGACGCCGACTGGGCCGGCAACAAGAGCAGCCGGAAATCTGTATCAGGAGGAGTCATCTTCCTGGACGGCCAGTATGCGTTTTCTTACTCAAGAACGCAGAAAACTGTGGCACTTTCCAGTGGCGAGTCCGAGTACTACGCACTCACTGGTGCTGTCGCAGAAGGAATTGGCATTCGAGAAGCCGTAGAGTTCCTTTCTGGCAAAGCAGCGGGAATGAAGGCGTACACAGACAGCAGTGCAGCACGCGGCATTGTGCATCGGCAAGGTGTTGGTCGTATCAAGCACTTAGCAACGAGAATGCTCTGGTTGCAAGAGGTTACCAGAAACGGCCTATGCAGCGTGAAGGCAGTGAGCACTGTTTTCAACCCTGCCGACTTAGGGACCAAGCCCCTCAACGCATCGAGAATGAAGCTACTTTTGAACATCCTTCAAGTCCATGATGATCGAGAAGCAATCGGTCGTGAAGAACGAATGGCCGCAGAGAGCACAGCTACAGTCAGAAGATTGACAAAGGTATCCGGAAGCAGACTTGGTTTGACGTTATTGTCAGCTTTTGGTTTTGCAGTTGAATCTGCAGGTCAGCAAGAAGGAGATTTTGTAGCACGAAGATATTTTTGCATGCAGTTGGTGAGTTTTGTGTTTGGTCCGTTTTCTACAGCTCAAGAGCCACCTCAAGAACTTCAAGAAGGTGAACAAGAAGTTTTACATGGTCACAGCAGCAACAGCAGCATGAAGTTTTCACATGTTTTCACGAGCATGCCTGAGCTTGAGATGTTGATGCCCGTGTGCATGGCTGTGATTGTTGTCCTGGTGACGATCATTGTCTACTTGGCAGTGAACCAGAAGAAAGAGAAGAAGGGTGAGAAAGAAGAGAAGCCCAAAGAAGAGAAGCCTGAAGGTGAAGTCACAAAGAAGAAAGAAGAAGAAGATAAAGAGAAGAGCTCGCAAGGTGTCCTCGAAGACGACGAGACCGTGAAGAAGAAGTTCGACGAGCTGATCGCGAAGATGGAGAAGCAAGAGCGTGCCTTGGAGAAAGAAAAGTTGAAGAGAGAAGAAGCAGAAGAGAAGGCGAAGGAAGCAGAAGAAGATCGTGACCAAGCATTTGTTATGAAGGCGAAGGTGGTTGCGAAGTTCAGTGAAGCTGAAGCAGAGAAGAAAGCTTTGGAGAAAGAGAAGGAAGAGTTAGAGAAGCAGAAAGAAGCGTACAAGCAAGATGCCAAAGAGGTGAGAGAGCAGTTGAAGAAGGACTACGACATGATCACGAAGCAGAAAGAAGCAGAGGAGAGAAAGAGAGAAGCAGAAGAGCTAGAAACAGCAGAACAAAGAAGAGAGGAGGAAGACAGGATCAATGCAGAGATCAGGAAAGCCAACGAAGAGAAGATTGAAGCAGCAGAACGACAAAGGAGGAAAGAGGAGACAGACAAGAAAGCCGAAGCAATGAGACAAAAGGAGCAGGCAAAGAAGGCCCAGGAGGAGGAAGACGCCCAGGAGAAGGCAGCACAAGAGAGGAAAGCACAAGAGGAAAAGGAAGCACAGGAAAGGAAAGCACAAGAGGAGAAGAAGAAGGCAAAGGAGAAGAAGGCACAAGAGGAGAAGGAAGCACAAGAAAGGAAGGCCCAAGAGGAGAAGGAAGCACAAGAGAGGAAAGCACAAGAGGAGAAGGAAGCACAAGAGAGGAAAGCACAAGAGGAGAAGGAAGCACAGGAAAGGAAAGCACAGGAGGAGAAGGAAGCACAGGAGAAGGAAGATGAAAGGAACGAGGCAATCGCGAAGGAGAAGGCGAAGAAGCAAAGAGCAAAGCTAGAGGCCTATGAGGAAATGAGAAGAAAGGAGCAGGAAGCCCAAGAAGCGACGAAGGAAGAGAAGGAGAAGGCAAAGAAGGAGTTGAAGGAAGCACAGGAGCGAAAGACCCAGGCGGAAATTCAGGCAGAGAAGGAACGAGAAGGAATGAAGGAGATTGAAGTCGTTGAAGTTGAAGATTCAGGATCTGAAGATGAAAAGCCCACACTAGGAGCAGAAGGAAAGAAGGATGCAGAAGGCAATGTGTGGCAGATCCACAAAGGAGCATTGTGGGTCAGGATCAAAGGCCAGTGGTATGATCCAAACTGGTGGACAAAGAAAGGATACAAACCACCGCCTGACTGTGCAGAGTCGAGCGAAGAAGGAAAAGAAGAAGGAGGAGCAGCAGGAACAGAAGAAAGAAGAGAGCAAGAAGAAGAGCAGCCCCGAGAACCACCGCAGAGAGGAGAGAAAGGTAGCAAGAACGCAAAGGGCAGATGGAATGTGGTCACGTTCACAGATTGTGGTTGGATCTGGGAGTATTGCAAAGACACGAATGAGTATCGAGCAGTTCGGCTCGATCAGAAAGGATCAGCGCAGGTGAAAGGAGCGCAGATCAAAGGTGCCGAAGACTGGAACCTCGTGACCAAGCACTTCAAGAAGACAGGAAGGTGGGAGAGCCCCACAGAAATAAGAAGAGAGAGAGATGAGCCTGAGGTGCAGCAAGAAGGAAAGCGAGGAAGAAGAAGTCGAGAGCAAGAAGACTGGCAGCAAGAAAGTTGGCACCAGCAGCAGGACTGGTACGCCGACGACAGTTGGAGCCAGAACTACTGGGACGCAGACTACGCCTACTACCACTACGCCCCGAAAGGGAAGTACCAAGGCAAAGGGAAATGGAAGTATGGTGGTGGTGGCAAGAAAGGCTGGTAAGAAGAAGAAGCCAGCAAGAAGCATCGAGAAGGGTGACGACTGAACGCAGCGTGAAGCATGTATAGATTTTCTGAAGCTGTGTACATAGAAGTTCGAGCACCCCGAACATTGCACGAAGTACAAAGTAGGTACAACGAATGTTTTTGAATAAGCAAGGACCCCAATACGCCTTGTGATATTCACACGAGTTTCACCAAGAAGAAAGTAGTTTCACGAAGAGTTTCACGAAGCAGGACTAGGAGTGTAAGGTGCAGCCAGGTAGAGGCAAGAACAGTTGAAGAAAGAAGATGGTTAGGTAAAAGAGAAGACCACACAAGAGCCATAGGCTGGCCACAGGGCTGAGACTCACAAGATGAGGACTCTAAGACAAGCCCGTGTAACTAGAAATTCGAGGTTAGGAGTTTATGCATGTTTCAAGAAACAAAGCAGAAAGAACTGGGTAAAAGACCTTGGACTAGAGGAGACGAATGTCCCCAGTTCAGTACACTTGAAGTCCGAAACAGCTCTTCGTCTTTTGGCACAGCAGTGAGAATCACTGCAGGAAAGAGAACGCCCTAAAGCCTTCGATCTGTTCCGAGGCGGGGTGTTAAGTGTACAGCATGTATCCAGGTACAGTGAATGGGTGCAGTAGGAAAGACACCAAATGCCCTAAGGCATGTTGAGTCTGAGCAGAACGAGTTTGACACCGGAGGCTTAGGCTCAAGAGTCGAAAGCGAGAAAAGTTGTTTTGCCTTTAGAGCGTGGTAGGAAAAGTGAGCCATGATGTTTACCACGTTTTTCAACAAAAGCGGTGCAAGTTTTTGGGCATGTTGGCTGTGTGCTGAACGTGCTGAGAACTCATGCTTGTGGACCCTTTGTTCAATATGCAGCCGTGCAACCGCATGATGGCACCATTGTTTTGATGATGTTGGTGTGCGTTGTGCGGCAAAGTGGCCTGAACCTTTAAACCTTGTTTGCTGTTGCCGGGCCGTGCCGGTTGCAAAGGTTAACCTTGTTTTTTTTTGTGGTTTTTGAGTGCCAAGTGTGCACACAGCTACACGAAATACCACATGGCCAATGTTTGCAGGCAACCCAACTGAACGAACCGCTCCCGAAAGATTTTGCATCAAGTTGCAGCGAATACTTACGTAAGGTGATAAAAGTCAAAGGTCGCTAGGCCCCTGAGCATGCCTTGAGTACGAACAACCCCATCTCCATGGGCACAGCTTCGCAACTTCCTGCCGCGTCTTTGGCCGGTATGCTTCGCGTCTGGAAGATGTCGGGCGAGGAGCTGGTCGCGTTGCGTCGGGAGGACTTCTCGGAATCTTATGACGTCGCCGACGAACTGAGGAGACTCTTGCGAAACAGGTATGGCTTCCCAGTATGCACTCAGACGCTGTTGCTCGACGGTGGCAAGTTGGAGCCGACCTGCCGGCTAAGCTTTCCTTCGGATCTTCAGTTGATTTTGTGTCTTGGGTCAGGTGTTGGAATCTTTTGGTTTAAAAGTTTAAAACCCAAGGCAGCCAGAGTTTGCTTTTTGCCAGTGTTTAGGTAATAGTCAAGTACATGGTACTCAAGTCTCAAGGACCCCGCTTCCGGAGGAGTGTTCAAGGTCGGCCGCTGTTGGTGACGAGCTGGTTTTGTACGCTGGCGATCAAGGGCATCCAGAGCATGTCTTTTTGGCAAGTGTGTCTCTTGTAACCGACATCCTAAGCCCTTCAACCCCTACAATACCCTCAACTTGAACCTCCTAAATTAGGGTTTTCCCAGAAAGGACAGAGGTGGACAGATCATTCGTATAGCTTCTAGCATGCAGACATGAGCCCACCTCCCCTGAAAGATTCCAGGCAGCTGCAGACCTTGCGCTTGTTGATCGAGGCCCGTGCCGACACGGACTTGAGGGACAGACACGCTGGCAAAACAGCTTTAATTGCGTCAGCTGCGCAGGGCCACGTTGAGGTCGTGCGCTTCCTTCTGGAGCGCAGGGCCAGTGTGAATGCCTCCATGTTTTCAGGCCGACGCAACACTGCCCTCGAATGTGCATTTGAACGGGGCCATGCTGATGTCGCCCGCTTGCTATTGGAAGCTGACGCCCGGAGAGGGAAGGAGTTCGGCCTTGCATGTGGCGAGGGCCATGCTGATCTGGTCAGGATGTTGCTAGAGGCAGGCAGGAGTGTAAATTCAGATGGAGGGCTGATTCGCGCAACGAATTCCGACCGAGCCAGCGTCGTGAGTTTGCTGTTGGAGGCACGTGCTGATGCGGACGTCACAGACGACCGTGGTAGGACACCACTTATGCATGGTGCTCACCGTGGTAATGTTGCCATGGTCCGTTTGCTGCTGGAAGCGAGTGCGGATGCATGCGTAGCTGACAACGGCGGGGATACTGCTTTGATTTCCGCGGCTATGCATGGACACGCGGACATCGTTCGCTTGCTGCTTCAAGCAAGATCTGATATCGAAACGCTTGGACCTTGCGTCGACAGCTGCACCGCCCTCATGGGCGCATGCGACAATGGTCATCTCGAAACTGCGAGTTTGCTGCTGGAAGCAGGAGCAGACAAAAACAAGCACGATCGCTTAGGTGGTACAGCGCTCACCCGAGCATCCGAGCGAGGCCAAGTTGACATTGTGGATCTGCTTCAGGACGCGTGAGGGGTAGCCAAAACAGGTCTTTAGGATTGCGGATTCGCATGACAATGCAACAAGACAACAAACCTATACTGCACAATTCAATAATATCATGGTGCTGTGACGAATGCTACAACCCGCTTCATGCCAACGTGCATTCAAAGGTGCCTTATGCGCACAGTCTGCGTTCCCATGCAGGTAGGTGAGTCTGAAATGATAACTTCTTCATTCTACAGTGTTAGGTTTAGCTGCAAGTGAGGATCTCGGAATCCTAAACGTGCCATGGGAATCCTAAACCTTAAACCCTGAGCCCTGAACCCTAAACCCTAAACTTTATCGTAGTTGGGTAACATTTTACATTCTTAAGGGTACTTAAACCTAATAAGGAATAGAAATTTGGATTTTTAATATTATCCCAACAATGAACTAGTAAACCCTAAACCCTAAACCCTAAACCCTAAACCCTAACCCCTAAACCCTAAACCCTAAACCCTAAACCCTAAACCCTGAACCCTAAACCTGCTAACGCTTCCCGAGCCTCTCCGTCGAATGCCTCCTTCTAGAATGGCTCTTCGCAAAGGGCCCCAAATCGAGATGCGAGTTCGAAAGATTGGAGTTGCACCTATCCAGCAGTAGGGGTCACCCAACAGCATAGTAAGATGCCCCCCCCCAGATCCCATTCTTACCGAAGTGCTGCCGAAGATTTTCCAGCCATGCAGGTAATATCTCAGCTATCTCCTACTGCCATGATACGAGATCTTGAAGCTGATGTCCTCAAACCTAAAACCTAAACCCTAAACCCAAAACCTTAAGCCCTAAATCCTAAACCTTAAACCGATAAAGCCTAGAAGCCCTGAACCGTGGAAGTTTCCTTCAAGTTCGCCAGTCGCCCCCTTGCCCTGAACAAAAATGAGCCTTTTGCAGCCCAAAGCCCTCAGAGCTCAGGGTTTAGGGTTGTTTAGAGTTTAGGGACGTCAGGGTTTAGGGTTTAGGGGGGTTTAGGGACTCAGGATGCAGGGGTTTCATTTTGGGTAGGGTTTGAGGGTTTAGGGCTTTATGGCTGAAGGGGGTTGAGGGTTTAGGGGCCCCTGACATATGGGGAGCCCTGATCTTGCCCGACATGCCAAGAAACCTTTCAACCCCACAGTTTCCCAAAAGACCAAGAGCACTCAAGTCCCAAGCGCTCTGAGCCGGATGTGATTTGCACGTGGCAGTTTCATGATCACAACAGCAAGGCAATCGACACATTGCTCAGAAGTCGTGCCAATGCAAACACAGCGGATTTCACTGGCGCCACAGCCTTGCGTTGGGCCTTGTTGCCATGGCCAATACGAAGTTGCAGAGTTGCTTGGGCACAAAAGGGTTCAAGGGTTCAAGGGTTCAAGGGTTCAAGGGTTCAAGGGTTCAAGGGTTCGGGGGTTTGATCGTTTAATGGTTTAAGGGCTTGAGTGCTTAAAGATCTTTGTCTTTGCCGCGGGCGTTGTGCGCCATGAGCTGTGCGGCTCCGCCGGTTGGCGGGGCCAAACACTGCGGCCGCCCTTCTGGGCGAGCGCAGGCTAGGAAAGGGGAGATGGCCGTATTTCTCAGGTTTCTAGGGTTTAAGGTTCCGGGATTAGGGTTCAGGGTTTAGGGTTTAGGGTTTAGGGTTTAAGGTTCAGGGTTTAGGGTGCAGGGTTTCGGGCTTAGTTGGGCTAGTCACGAACTCGTGTTTAGCTTGCCCTTTTCGCAGTTTTCGGAGTTCACTCGCTGAGAGTTGGGGCACTGGTGAAGCTGCCTGCCCTTCTTGCAGAGTTTGCCAGGCCACACCTTAACTAAACCTCAAGAACACCCAAGCCTTTCAAGCCTTGTAAGCCTTGTAAGCCGATTGAGCTCTATAAACCTTCTACACTGTTTGAATTCTTGCCTACCCGAAACCCCAGGTCATGCGGGGTCTCGCGCGTTCTGCGTGGAATTTTTGACTAACAGCCCCAAACCCAAACCCTTACCCTAAACCCCATCCCTACCCTAAACCCCTAAACCCCTAAACCCCAAACCCAAAACCCAAAACCCTGGCTCCTTGCCGCGGGCCTTCCCGGGTCAGGAGGATCTTATGCTGCTTTGAGCGAGGACCACCTGCGTCACGTTCTGCGGTTTCGGTGGGGCCCTAAACCCTCAACCCTAAGCGCAAAGGCCTAAACCTAAACCCTAAACCCTAAACCCTAAACCCTAAATCCCAAACCCCAAACCCTTTAGTACCAGGTGTGAAAGAGCTGAGCGTGTAGGGTTACATGTTTAGGGTGTTCTTCAGCAACTGTGTACTTTATTTCTTACTTGTTTGAGTCAGGTCGCACGTCTCGTAGATAAGACGGGTGTGAGAATCACCCTGTTTTACTACCTCATGAAAAGCGCCGAGTCCGTGTGACCCTTTGTTTAAGTCTCTTAGTTCAGGATTCCATTCTTCTCACCTCTACAGTACGGAGAACTTGCAAGTCTTGCAGACGTCTTGAGCTCAATTGAAGCCGAAATGGAGGCTGCGTAGTAGGACCGGATAAACCCAGTCTCAAAACCTAACCCTAAACCCTCAATCCTAAACCCTAAACCCTAAACCCTAAACCCTCAACCCTCAAGACAAAATAAATAGAAATTGTATGTGATATCATTCGGAATTTCCCAAGCTATTTGTCTAAACTGGTAACGTGCCGAGTTTAAGTAAATTATGCCAAAACACCTCCCCCGAATACTAAGTTACGAAGCCGGGCCTCCCCCGAATACTAAATTACGAAGTCGGGCCTCCCCCGAATATTAAATTACGAAGCTTCACCCGAACACTAAATTACGAAGCCGGGCCTCCCCCGAATACTAAATTACGAAGCCGGGCCTCCCCCGAGTACTAAATTACGAAGCCGGGCCTCCCCCGAATACTAAATTACGAAGCCGGGTCTCCCCCTGAATACTAAATTACGAAGCCGGGCTTCCCCGAATACTTAGATTACGAAGCCGGGCCTCCCCCGAGTACTAAATTACGAAGCCGAGCCTCCCCCCAAATACTGAATACTGTACGAAGCCGGGCCTCCCCCGAATACTAAATTACGAAGCCGGCTTCCCCCGAATACTAAATTACAAAGCCGGGCCTCCCCCGAATACTAAATTACGAAGCCGGGCTTCCCCCGAATATTAAATTACGAAGCCAGGCCTCCCCCGAATACTAAAAAACAAAGCCGGCCTTCCCCCGAATACTAAATTACGAAGCCGGGCCTCCCCCGAATACTAAATTACGAAGCCGGGCCTCCCCCGAATACTAAATAGCCGGGCCTCCCTGGAATATTAATTACGCCACCCTCCACCCACCCACCCCCCCGCACGCCGACCCCGAAAACCTAATATCCAAAACACTTTCACTCAAAGCTTTCGCTCAAAACTTTCGCTCAAAACGTTTCGCTCAAAACGTTATTGGGTCCCAAACCCTATACAATTTCTCTAAACCCTAAACCCTAAACCCTAAACCCTAAACCCTAAACCCTAAACCCTAAACCCTCAATCCTAATTACTACCTGCGTCTCCACGTTGCTCCCTGCAAGGGCTACCAGGCTGGGAGTCGGCAAGATGCCAGGGCTCTCAGCATTCTTCTTACTGGGTCTTAGTAGGAAATGAGGGAACCCTTAAAGGGTATATATAGGGGATTGTATCAAATTCTGCTGTGCCGGCCCAGTGTTGTGAACAGATCCTGTTGGACCAGTTCGAGAACCAACACGCTTGCCAGGAGATAAACCATCCCCCCATGCGATGTTGTGGTTTTGCGAGCAGGGTGCGGCGGGCGTCGGGGCGACAGGTGGAAGGAGGTGGTGAAACTGGCGAGGATGTTGATTTCAGAAGAAGATAGAGCGTGCGCGGGACCGCAAGTAAAGTGCACGCTTGATATGGCGCTGACAGTGCTGAGATGCCCGCTGGCCAGGACGAGCGTTGGTGCTGTTTGGTAGCAGCGCTGCTGCTGGGAGCAGCGCGCTACCGTGGGTGGAGCGATAGTCTATGTGCCTCGGTATGAGCTTTTGTGCCAGTCAGGTAGGTGACAAGGGTGCGTTGCAAAGTTGCGGGGGCACGTGTCACACCGCTGCGCTGGATCGGGGCTGGCAAGACCATGATCCAGCGCTTGCTGAGAAGGGGTGCAATGAGCTGATATCAGTCGCTGGTGTGCCGGCAGGTCAGCAAGACCGTCGATGCAGTTGCGTTCTGCTTCGCCCCGCGGACGATGCCGATGCGCTGTCATTTATAGAGCGGCTGGCTTTCGGCGGGCAAGCGCTTCCGCCCTGGTAGTTGACGTGCTCCGTGAAATGTTGTGAGCCCTTAGTTCTTTTTTTTGAGCCAACATTGCCTGCGTGGCTCATGCCTTGGCAGACATGGCTGGCGTGCCGCCCGCCGGGCAGAGCCGTTTGCGCAACATGGCAGCAGCCATGCTGGGCGCAGTCGAGGCGGGTCAATTTTTCGTATCTTGGTTTAGTAAGGGGCGGTTGTTGAACATGTAGAACCCAGTGCAGCCATCTCTTCTGCTATGCCATGCTTCAACTTACGAACGCTGTGCAACGGTGCAGCGCGCTGTATTCAAGGACGTGTAAGAAGGCATGGACAAGGAGTTTGGCGCCGCCTCAGCTCCTGCTGGCAAGGCCTCGAGGACATGCGCCGGCTGTGCCTGACGATCCTTGCGTGAGGCTCAGCAAGGAGCCACAAAGCCTGAGCAGACCAGGTCGCTGTGAGCGCGGTGCGGGACGTTCTTCACGAGGTCCGCGACTTCAGGGGTAAGCGCTTCATTCAGAACAAGTTCACAGCTAAGTATGAAGCCGACACGCTGAGCTGCTGCAGGTGTTGCGCAGCGTGGAAAAAGAACGACTTCGCTTAGGGCGGTGTGTTGCAGAACAATGATTCGTCATGTGCATAGAGAAGCTGCTAAGTGAAGCATAAAGGCTTAGTCTATTTTTGTGTGAATTCTAGAACTTCCGGGATTTTTTTTTATTCAGAATACTTCACCTTCAAAACATCTCGTCTGCGTTGATTTATTGTACCCACAAAGCCAGGCCAGAGTGTTTGGCACCCTTATACTTTCTGAGCAGTCCTGCTGCTCACTATCAATACATCTCAGCTTTAGCTCAACGCATAGAGCTCCACAGCTTAACACGCAAAGTTCCACAGTTTGTCGGCTCGTAACTCTTCCGAACCATGCTGTGGATTGCCTGGCTGGCGCAAAAGACGGTCAGGTATGCAAATTCCAAACCCGATTGCGAAAGAAAAGTTCGTGTCGGAAAAAAAAAACTCTAAACCCTAAACCCTAAACCCCCTAAGCCCCCCAAAGAACCCTAAACCCGAATGAAACCCCCCTAAACCCGAAACCCATGGATGTGGGCATGTGGGTAATCTCAGGAGGCTACTTCCCAAAACTGGATTCCTCGTAGAGTTTGGGATTCAAGGTTTCAAGGAGGGGGTTCAGGTTACGTTCATAGATAACCATCTCTGGATCGCCCTGCCTAGTAATATGGGTTGATGATGCTCAGTCCACGCAACTACTCAATGGTCTCTCCGGGTGTCTCCAAGACCCTAAACCCTAAACCCTAAACCCCAAACCCTGGGCGTTGATAAACGCTGGTCGTCTCCAGGACAGCATCCTCGAGGTTGGCGAGTGCGTTGAGGCGCTTATGCATTTCTGCCTCTAGACCTTGGTACTTAAAAGGGGTTTAGGGTTTAGGGTTTTAGGTTCAGGGTTTAAAGCTTCGGGTACATGTACGTATAGCTGTACGTATAATCATATTAGGGCACTTACGGGGCTTGTAAGTGGGTTGTATGTGCAGTTATAATTGGTGAACAGCTGCTGTCCGTCACAGGGTTGAATTGAGCTTCTCTACAAAGACGTTGAAGCCAGTGTTGTTAAACTGACTCACCTGTTTGTCTGTACATATCGACACTGGTGCAGCCGCATGCCAGGCGAACTTGAGTGGCACGCTCAGGGGCCGAGCCTCAAACCCGTGTTGGGTGTGTATATGTGGAGTTCCAGGGTTGAGGGCTTGGGCTTGGGGGTGTGGGGCATCTTGGGGTTTGAAAGGTTTGCAGATTATGGACGGGT